GATAAGTCAAATAATTTTAGAAAGACTGCAGGTTGCTCTGTTGAGGTTCAAGTCATCTTATATGATCTTCATTTGCAGATGAAGATACAGGATTTACCAAGGAAAACGACAATGTGATCTAAAGCTCCAGATCAGCTATGACGTGGTCCTTTTGGTAAGACTGATTTGTAAACAACCGTTTCTGACACTTCAGTTTTGTTTTTTTAACAGTTAATCCACTTTTCCTAAAAAGTTAAATTATTTATAGTGTTCTTGGTCCCTGATAACATATTTGAGCACCTAAATTTTTCTGAATTACATCACCACCAGATTTATGTTATATTACCTAATATAATAACATAATAATAATATACATACTCTATATCCGTTTCCTCTTTTGGTCAAGTTGAATGATTTCATTTCATAAAAGTGCTCTCCAAGTAGATTTATTTAATTTAATTTCTTTCCAAGTAACCAGTTTTAATTTTATGCCTCTGCAAGTAGGAGGCTTTCCTGATACATTGTTTGGAATCTCAGCTGTGCCCGGGTTTGTGCAGTAAACAATTAATTTGGTTTGTATTATCATAATTCCCTTTGAACCTGGGCTTGTCTCAGCAGTGGTACAACAAAAAATCGCAGCAGCAGCAGCTCAGGGTTTGCCAGCAGTCAAACAGGGCAGCAGGGCAGCATGGACCGTGACTGTCAGTAGCATATTCCCAGAGGCCGTGAGGGTAGAACCACCGAGGCACCACAGGAGGGATGTAATCACCACCATTACGCTCCAGGTGCTGCTGAAAAAAAAGGCAGATTGAAACAAGCCTCCGGTGGTGTTGCCATGGATCAGAATCCAATTAAACACTGTTTAGCTTGACACAAACTGCCAGTCGTAGCCTGTTGACTCATGAAATTAATGTATTGTCATGGCACAAAGAAATTGTTGCCACAGAGAGTGCAGCATGACCTGAGGCAGTACCCATTTGAAGCGCTGCAGCTTCATTCTGAGGTCATGTAAATTTCATCAGGCAATTCAAGTGTCAGAGAAATCACACAATATTGCATCTGTAATTTCACAATGAGTATTTTTTTTTTTGTCACTGCTCAGTTTTAGAGGTCACCTGTTTGCTTAACCTTGCACAGGAAAACACATCATGTCACAACTACCAAATTCAGTGTCACATTTATTCCCAAGGCAATTTATGCATACATAAAAGCTAGCAGAGGTTAAGGGTTGCTACATTCCTTGGAAACCTGGTAATGGATATTTGGAAATGCCCCGGAGAAGTAACAAATGAGAGGTGTAAAGTTAAATGTCCTGTGAAATCATCAGGAGATCTGAAACAAGCTGCCTTTACAGCCTCGGGGAGGTTTCCACAGACAATTATCTCTGGCACACCCGGCCGTCAGCTCAGTGTGACTACAGGTCAGCGTCGCAGGGCTGCTCACTTACAGATGTTCCTGGTAAGTCAGAGGCAGGGATGACAGAGCCGTCCCCTGGGTCACTGCGAAGACATGGGCTTGCCAGCTTGGCATACCTCCACAAAGCAGTGTTAGCGAAGCGCTCTTGCCCGCGTGCTCCAAATAGGTGCTCAGTTCCACTGGCTTTCTGTGGGACGCTAGAGTGCAGACAGTCCGTCAAAACCACTTTGGATCAAATTAATGCAACCAGGTGTGCCCCTGCAGTTGGGGCTCAGGTG